GCTCTGTCTAGGGGTGGGTGATGGGCTGAGTAAGAGCTTATGGGGCAGATTAACATGGGTGACACCTGTGGGTGTTTGCTACAGGCCACCTCATCAGGAAGTAGTAGTAGATGAAGCCTTCTGCAGACAGCTGGAAGTAACCTCACATTTGCAGGCCCTGGAGGACTTTAATGACAGCAGTATCTGCTGGTGGGACAACACAGCAACGCACAAGCAATCCAGAAGGTTTCTAGACAGCATTGATAACTTTCTGATACAGGTGATAGAGGAGCTAACAAAGTGAGACATGCTGCTGGACCTCATACTTACAAACAAAGAAGGGTGGCTGGAGATGTGAAGGTTGGGGACAACCTTGGCTGCAGCACCATGGGATGGTGGAGTTCAGGATCCTGCAAGGAGGGAGTAGGGCAAAAAGCAACCCTGGACTTCAGGAGAGCTAACTTTGGCCTCTTCAGGGACCTGATTGGAAGAATCCTGTAGGATAGGGCCCTAGAGGGAAGACAGATTCAAGAAAGTTGGCTCATATTCAAGGATCACCTCCTCCAAGAACTCTCCATCCCAACAAGCAATGAGTTGAACAAAAGGGGCAGGAGACCTACATGGCTGAACAAGCAGCTCCTGGCAACTCTCAAACGCAAGAAGGAAGTATAGAGAAGGTGGTAGCAGGCCAGGTAACCTGGGAGGAATATAGAAATGCCTGAGTATGCAGGGATGGGGCTAGCAAGGCCAAGGCCCATTTGGAGCTCAATGTGGTGAGGGAGGTCAAGGACAAAAAGAAGGGCTTATCAGTAGTAAAAGAGACTAGGGAAAACATGGCCTGGCTGCTAAGTGGAGCAGGGGCCCTCATCAGAGATACTGAATGCCTTCTTCACCTCAGTCTTTACTGGTAAGACCAGCCCTCAGGAATCCCAGTGCCTGGAGACCAGGGAGAAAGGATGACTTCCTCTTGGTGGAAAAGGATTAGTTAGGGATCACTTAAGCGAACTGGACATGCACAAATCTGTGGGCCCTGATGGGATGGACCTGTTAGTGCTGAGGGAGCTGGCTGATGTCATTGCAAAGCTACTCTCTTTCATCTTTGAAAGACTGTGGTGATTGGGAGAGGTGCCTAAGGACTGGAAGAAAGCAAATGTCACCCCAGTCTTCAAAAGGGCCAGAAGGAGGAACTGGGGAAATACAGGCCAGTCAGCCTCACCTTGATCCCTGGAAAGGTGATGGAGCCCCTCATCTTGACTTCAGTGAGGCTTTGGACGCTGCCTCCCATCACATCCTCCCAGGTAAACTCAGGAAGCGTGGCTTAGATGAGTGGCCAGTGAGGTGGATGGAGAACTGGCTGCATGACAGAGCTCGGAGGGGTTGTGGTCAGTGGCGCAGAGTCTAGTTGGAGGCCTGTAGCTGGCAGTGTGCCCCAGGGGTCACCACTGGGTCTAGTGTTGTTTAACTTATTCATCAATGACTTGGATGAAGGGATAGAGTGCCTCCTCAGCAAGTCTGCTGATGATACTAGGCTGGGGAGAGTGGCTGATACACCAGAGGGCTGTGCTGCCATCCAGAGGGACCTCAACAGCCTGGAGAGATGGCTAGAGAGGAACCTCCAGAAGTTCAGCAAAGGCAAGTGCAGGGTCCTTCACCTAGGCAGGAATAATCCCATGCACCAGTACAGGCTGGGGACTGACCTGTTGGAAAGTAGCTCTGCCGAGAGCAGGTCGAAGGAGGTGATCCTTGCCCTCTCCTCAGCCCTGGTGAGGCTGCATCTAGAGTACTGTGTGCAGTTCCGGGCTCCCCAGTACAAGAGAGACATGGAGTTCCTGGAGCGAGTCCAGTGAAGGGCTCCTAAGATGATGAAGGGACTGGAGCATCTCTGCTATGAGGAAAGGCTGAGAGAGCTAGGGCTGTTCAGTGTGGAGAAGAGAAGACTGAGGGACAGAAACAAAAAAGACAAACATGGCATTTCTAGACAGAGTTCCTGGTATCAGCCCACATCTTATCAGTGGGTATAAATAGCTGAAGGGAGAGTATGAAGAGGATGGGGCCAGACTCTTGTCAGAGCTGCCTAGCAATAGGACAAGAGGCAATGAGTACAAACTCAAACACAGGAAGTTCCCTCTGAACATAAACATTTCTTTCCTGTAAGGGTGGTGGAGCACTGGAACAAGTTCTCCAGCGAGGTTGTGGAGTTTCCATGCTTGGAGATACTCAAAATCCAACTGGATATGGTCCTGGGCAACCTGTTCTTTCTCACCCTGTTTGAGAGCAGCAGGGGGTTGGACGGGATGATCTCCAGAGGTTCTGTCCAACCTCAACCATTCTGTGATGCTGTGCAGAGCCAAACATGGATGCTTCAAATTGGCATGGGAGGAGCCAGAAGCAGATACCAGCTGACAGCTCTTGCACCATGCCTTGCACTAACTTGTTTTGAGTGAAAATCCAATCCACTTGAGTACATTAGCCTTTTCATTTCTGTGCTGTCTAGAATGAGATGGGAGTCTACTTCTCTTCAAGAATATTAATTTCACTTTCATATTCTAGGCATAGTGCAGAATCTGACCCTACAGGTATACGATAGATTTGATTGTCAGGCTAGTGAAATGCTCTATTGCATTAACCCTTTCCAGCCAGTTTCAAAGATTCCCTTTCATTCCAGGGTCAAAGCTTGTGCCCAAGTAAGGCCTTTCCTTGGGGATGGTGCTGGAGACTTGCACATAACTGCAGTTTTCTCTTTTCCAAAAGACTTGTATGTTTTTCTTAAATACCTGATGGAACATCAGTGATTAGAGTATCATATTTTTCTCTAACTTATAGACAAAGAAAGTATAGTTGAGTTATTTTATGATCTATTTTCTGCCAAAGAAATCTACAGAATAGATTTAAGTAGCAGTAGAATACAACTGTTTTAAAAAAACAAACAAACAAACAAGGATTTAGGTGAAACTTGAAATTGCAAGGCTTAGTTTCTGAAAAGGTGTGAAGATATACTACTACTGTTTGTATTTTTTTCCACACCCCCAAAAATTCATTCAACCCTCAACCACCCTCCTGTGTACTAAAATAACTTGTTTTCATTTGCAGTGCAGTAACACTAAGAATATTCTTTGTTTTCAGACTGGTGATGTGCTGCTGCCATTTTCAAAAAAAAAAAAAATCAAGCAGCACTTGCAGGGTGAGATTTCTTATGTAGCCAGAAGTCCTGGAAACTAACTCACTATGTAGATTAATGGCCACTGGTACTGCCACTTTTCTATAACATTAGCTCTTAGGCAGATAAAAAAGGGGGGATTAATAATGATGGCAAGACTTAAGACCATCTTTCCAAACAACACAAGTCTTTGGAGTAATGCCAGAAGCCTGCAGTAGGCAGAAAGAGTCATATGTGGTAGGAAACTAGCCCATACCTAGATATCAGCATTTGTAAGGCTGTTAGTCATGACATACAGTAAGGGATTTCATGCACAGAAATAATCTGAGTAATGTAACTAAAGAGAAACCACTACTGTAATTTCCTGTGACAGTGTTTTAACTAGTTTCTGTTTCAACTTAGTTACCCTTGGATTTATTGTTAATTTATAATGAGACATTTTAAACATTCTGGATGTAACCCTAAGCTTCAGCTACAGTGCTCCTTCAGTTATATTTTTCTTCCATTCACTTGAAACCTCAAGTTTACAGTTATTAAAACTTCTTTTGTGTCCTGTATTTAATGATTAGACAAATACTGAGTGCTCCAAAGTTTGTCTAAAGCTTCAGATCATGGTTGGGTTATGGAGATATTTTCTGCCTTTCTTGTAACAGGAAATAGCCCACTTGAATGAGACAAAGAATGAAGAACAATGTACCCAGATAGCATAGAAAAAGTAACTCATATTTAAAAGTTTCTCTTGAAAATGAAGACTGAAGCAACCTGAATGGGAAACAGCAGATCATACATGGTCTCTTTAGTTCTTGCTAGAATCTACAATTTGTTCTTTCAATTCCTTTGACCATCAAAAGCGAAGTCTGTGCCAGCAACTATGGACTATTAAAGATGCATTTTAACAGCACAGCATAAATACATTGCTTTCACTATAAAAGCTGCTACTGCCAAGACTAATACATGCTACTGGTCAAAGTCAGTAGCATAGCGATAAACTGAAATGCAAGTCTGTGTAGCTTAATTAACTCAAGTTAGGCAGTGAAAACAAGCAAGTGTTATCTTAGAAGTGTCTAAAGTCTCCTCCCCAGTTAGTGTAACATGGGTTATACAAGGTAACTCCTTTCCCCTCTCCTAAATGCTGCAACCTCAGGTTGCAGTGGGGAAACCTGGGCACTGGTAGTATTGAACTGAGATAATATAAACCATATGCAATGATCTGATTGTTTTCAGTCTAAGTTCTGACCTTCCACAACGATCCCTTGTCATAGTCAAAAACACATCCTGAGGAAAGCTCTGTTGTGACACAGTGGGTTTGTATATTTGTAAAGCTAACAAAAAGGGATAACTGGAGCCATTGAGTAGCTTTCTCTACACTTGCACCACCATGGCGGCATCTGGAAAAGTTTAGCATATGCTTCTAAAGCTGGTAGTTGGGAAAACTTCACTGACCACACACAATGGTGTAAAGTCAGTCAGCTATCTGCCCACAAAGTAAGATGTAACAAGTTATGAGATGCGGCTGTTCTCCTATAAAGGAAACATGAGAATATTTCTCAACATGACACTGTGCTTGTGCTTTTCCAACTGTGAACCTCACTTAGTTCCTTGGGCCTTGTGGTTTTTGCATTTCACATTTGTATTATGAGAGTTTTTAATTTGTGTACAAAATGCAAACTGCATAACTAATAGCATTGCCAACTATTCTGGAAATTCAAAACAGATGCATCAGCCTTCAGAGGATGGGCAGAGTGTTCGTGACTAGTAACTAACCAGTGATGAAAGAACTACAGCAATCCAGACAGCAAAATACCGACAGCTGTATAGTAGACCAACGCAACTCCAGAGAAACATGAAAAAAAACAAAACGCTGCAGACTGCATCTCTGTAGTTTTAATTATTCAAACCACTCTCCATCTCTCTATCATGTTCTAATAAGATCATTACTAGTACAGAATTATGCACACATTTCTATATATTCAAGCTATTTCAATTCAGAAATAAATTGGTCTTCACATCTAGACACCAGTTCACTCTTAGAAAAAAACTGGCTAGATGAGCGTGAGCCAGCCTATTGCAGGCAGGCACGCACACACACACACAAGCACTTTCAAGAATTTATAAATGAATATTATTTTTAATGATACTCTACTGCCTTGAAATTAACTTTTGGATTTTTTGGAAACATCAAGAGAAAAACAGAGAGATAACAGGAAAAATGTTTACTGAAAAAATACTAGTTGTGCCTCCTTGAGGTCAAAGTGATGTTGACAATAACCTTACTTTAATAAATGTTTCACAGCACTGTGTCATAAGCAACTTAAACCCCCCTATGGAGAGATTTGTCTTTGCAGCTGCTACAGGGATGTCATAGGCTAACTTGGAGAAAAGATCTTGAGTTCAAGAAAGAAAAATAAAAACCCAAAAATCCCATGGAATTCAGAGCATAGGCTATATAGGAGCTTAGAGAATAGGAACAAATATTTCCTATTCTCTTCCTCTTTGCTTCCTCAATCACAAAGTTACAAATCTTTCAGCTAGCTAAGAGAAGTAGTGCAGGCTATTAGAAAAATCCGTTTGTATGCAGAGCATTATATGAATAGAGAGAAGAACTTCAGAAGTAATTTTAGTTGTTCAAAGCCCTAGACAGACTATGGAAATGAGTAAAATAATTGTTCTATTAGATTGAACATACAGTATTAGCATACAAAGAGATACAAACAGTGGAGGACTATGATACAGACGTGTCGAAACTTCCCCTTCAAAAATACACTGAAGGGAAGCAACAGAGCAGAAACCAAATATGACATTATAGCTTTCTGCTACACTGAAAGTCAAAAAACCAAGTTGTTCCCCACCCCCAGCCCCCTCCAAAAGGATGGATTTTATCCCTAAATACCACCAAATGATTTTCTGTTTACAAAGTAGATTTTTAAGAAAACACAGTTGATTGCTGGAAATCATACCAAAGCTGCAAGCTATGTACTTTTAAGCCTTCATATTAAATAGCTGATCAGATTTGTAAAACCTAAGAGAAGTGAACAGTCAGAAGCACATTTCAATAGGTAGTACAGTGTTCTCCAAATTGGAATGACTGTACTGCCTGGCAGCATCCAGAATTCGGTGTGCTAACCCAATATTCCGTTAAACTAAAAGATAGTACTGAGTGCTTCTTTCAACCTTTGGCTCCTCCCAAAATTTGTAAGCATATTAAAAGGTCATACTCAGATTACTTAAACCCTATGTTTGTAGGCAGTTTGGAATATGGTAAAATCTAGATTAATGTTCTAGTTTATATTAGGAGCAACTACAAGTGTATTACACAGTTATACTTAAAAAACAAAATCATACAGGGGCACACTGAGGAGTTTGGATCTCACTGGATACAAGCTGAGTAGCCTCAGTTGCCTTTCCTTAGTTCTACATCTGAGCAGACTAGTTCTCAACCTGTTCCGTTACCCCATCTCAGTGTTACCTTATTTCCTGCTCCTTTTTACAGTCCCTCTGCCCAGAGTCCCATGTCCCCATCTTCACACTTGTTGACCTGTTTTTCCTCTCCTGACTTGCTCACTCCTACTACTCATCCTGTTTTCCCAGCCAGTCCTAGTTTTCTCTAGAACAAAAATTCTAGAAGAAACATCCCTCTGTAGGTCCAGTGATTTTTCCCCTTATGCATCTGAATCAAGCAAGCTATTGGGAACAACACAATCGCTCTTTTTCACTGGTACAGAATGACAGCTGCCATTACAGTCTGATGCTTAAACTGGGTCCTGAGCAGAGCATACCCAACACAAAAAAAGGAAAACTGCAAACGTCTAACAAGTCTCTGGGCATACCAGAACTGACTGTAAGGTCTATAACTTGTTCACCTGTAAGCAAATTTCTGCATGGATAGCTAGAGACATTTCACTGATGTCAGAGACGAGCTCCTGCCATACTTCAGGTTGTGACTTCCAAATCCAGAAAGACTAGAAATTCTCAAAAGAGAAATGGCTTGGACATTCTTTGGCAGAGGGCATAACATTTCCCTTTACTCTAGCCTCACTTCTGAAGACAGCCGAAAGTCTTTGCCATTCCCCTCCCCCCGCAAGAAGTATGGGCCTATTACATATACCAGCCATGTCAGGTTTCAGCCAGAATAATTAACATCTAGCATACTTTAGACAATGGCAGGATCTAGACAGCAGCAAGCACAGGCGGTACAATCAGCTTCACCTGCATGTAGGACAAATGTGAGTAGCAAGCAAGTGCTGAATCTCTATCATGAAAAGCATTGAACTTCTCAGTTCCTCAATGATGGAGTTTAATGCCAATTTAATCCCCCAGTTAACATTTTAGCATGAGTTTTGGTTCTTGAAACTTGGCTGCAGACAATGCTGACAGCAATGGCCAACGCAGCCCTTTGTGTACATCTTCTGAACAGACACTTCACTGACTATGCAGAATTTAAGAACAAAGGCATTTAGCTATGAATTAAACAGTAGACAATCTAGCATCTCATGAGATTTAGTAGTCAGTAGAGTATTTAGATACCTGAATAAATTTAGCTTATGTCTGCTAGCCCATAAGCCACAGTTGAGCTCCACTGTCATATTCTTCACTATTTGTCCCAGAAGAAGAGTGCTGGCAAAGAAAACATTTTTTACTGCCAACCCCTACTACAATACTATCATCTTTAATCTAAATTTAGAGTAGCTCACAATAAAACAGCTTATATAAAAATATAGTATAATATAAAGAACTTTTACACTGTTAAGACCTCACCTCAAAAAACTCCTAAAAGACATCTACAGGGCACTTCCAACACAGCTGTAATGCACATCTCAAACTGAGGAGGAAATGCATTTTGTAAGTGTGACTGTGAAGATTAGCCTAGAAAAAAAAAATATTCCAGTTTGAAATTCAGAGGCCACCTACGAAGATTTATGGGTCTTCTACCTACTTGCAGATCAAAATGCCTTAGTCTGAATTAACACCTGGCTGAATCCCAGGAACCTGTACTGTCATCAATGCTTCTCATAGTCCTTTTATTAAGAGAAGATTTCCACAGAGAATTGATGAGATACCAAAAATGCAACTCACATGTAAATCAACAGTTCCCCCCCCAAAAAGACAATGCTACAGCACCCAAAACAAAATTAAAATAAAAAAAATATGGATTGTGACTATCATCAATCCCCACAATATTTTCAAATCCTTATTGTGGAGTACCATTCTGCTTTATTTTCTAATGAATCATTAAAGAAATCCATTAAGTATTTAAGTCATCACTTCTCATATTTGACAAACCCATCAACCTTGCTTCAAATTCACCAAGTTATAAACTATGGCCACATATTATCATCCTACTGCACTATGTCCATGGGTAGAATCCAACTGTAGCAACAGCTGTAAGGAAAAATACAAAGACTACGGTCCTCCAAAAATTTTCTCAAGAAACCACATTAATCTAACATGTGACTAAAGCCAAAGAGGGAAAATCTCTTCCAACCACACCTTCAGATGCCTCTCAAAATGTATTCACTTGATGCACATGAATGTTGAAATGAACAGATTCCTCCGTCAGCTTTTGAACAGCAGCTGCAGTGGGAAAGCATCTGTAAGGTGCCACAAAGAAAGAAGCCTTTTACAGCCACTAGTCTCAGATTACATGAGAAATAGGAAGGAGTCTTCAGTCTTTAGCATCTCCCACTCCATCAGCATTTATAGCAAACATTGCTTCAGCCTCAGGAAGACAAGGAGAGTCATAAATCTTACATATTCTGGTTTCACCTCGGCCTTTTCGCAGATACAGTCTAACAGGGAGAAGGAAACAAAACAAGCAAGGATGTATAGTTTACTTTCAGTAAATCATTACTATGATCATTAAAACATTAGGTTATTACAAGAACAGAGTACAGCACACTGAGGAGCTGTAAGAATTTTTACAAATGCTATATTAATTTTACTGCAGAATAAGTCACACACTCAGAGAGGCTCTCATTTTTTGAAAAGCAGACTTGACATACTGTTGACAGACTTCATAGGAAAAAAACTCATAATTTAAAGGTACTTAATTTCATAAAACTTTCCAAAATAAGGCTAACGGAAGATGATAATTATTCTCTTACCTGGTGGTGGAAGCATGTGCTATGATATTTCCTCCAATAGGTTTTTTGGGATCTGCAGCAAACATGGCAGCTCCATCTACTTGTGCAACTACTTGGTTAGTGATCACAACTGCTACACCAAACTAGGAGAGAAGCAAGAAATAAAATTCATTTATTTTCCACAATTTGAATAAAGAAAAAACAAAAAAATCCGCCCATGCATACACTCCTGCCATTCTAAGCACTGCTCTCCATAACTACTCTACCATGCATCTCAAAACAAAATGGAGGCAGACACTGAACAAGTAAAAACCATCTGTGTAAAATTACTAAGCTTTATAAGAGAAATAAATTCAATAATCAGTTCTGTAGGGAGCAAAGCATGGAGGACAGAGGGAGGCAGTTCATGGTTTACCTCATCTGCAAGTCGAAGAAGCATACGCAGAAATCTGGCCAGATGCATCTGTCTAGCTGACAGCTCACCTCTTCCAGAGTAATCTGTTCGGTAAAGGGCTGTGGCACTGTCCACTATCAGCAGTGCATAACTGGAGAAGATAAAGTACAAAGTTCTTATAAGTATTTCCAAGTATGAACGACACCTTTGCTTGAATCTGCCCAGCTAATTGTAAGGCTGCATAAAGATTTGGATACAAGCTCTTCTCATCTGCCAGCTAGCCGAAAGTATTGTTTTTAACAACATGGACTTGATCTGCAATGTTCAGAATACTGACCTATACCAAAAACCCCAGTAAACTCAAAGAAAGTTGCTGCATGACTAAAAACTTAGATCTGTGCTTATGTACTCTGATAAACTAGTCCAAAATATAACGTTTTGACATCACAGGTATTCTGTGTACAGCTTCCTAAACACGTCGCATCACCACCTCCTTCTTCTAAAGGGTTTCATAAATCTTAGTTTTAAACTAAAGCTGTCAGCACAGGTTTCTTTAGTGCTTGGTGTGCTCTAAATCAACTCTATTCCTGAGAGCCATTATAAATTGGTCTTGAAAATTGTTTCTCAGGCCGGCACTTGTTCTTTGTAAAGTAACATCAGTTGTCACAGCTCAAGTCTGTCTCAGTCATCCAACATTTCAACAGAAACAGGTATTAACTCACAGCTGACTGCCCATCGACAAAAGCTTATCATTTGGATAAACAAAAGCATAATCTAGTTTCAGAATAATAAAAACTGCTCTAGCACTTGCTTGTCAGCTACAAGTAGCTTTATAATATGATTATGTAACAGCATAAAAATCACTCCATCCAAGTCAATCTTATTACCGTGATTCAGCCATCATCGCAGACGCTTGATACAGGAGCTGGGTCTGATGATCTGTGTTAAAACCTCGAGCATATGCCACATTATCAAGGACATCACTGCCAGACAAGCCATACCTGCAGAAATCAGTGAGAAAAATCTTAGAAGTGACAACTTCATCAACAGTAGTTATCTAGCAGATTTACCTGAAGATTAAACTCACATTCCTGGGAGAGCCTGGGATTAAAAAAACAACAACAACAAAAAAAACACCAAGTAGGGGGGGCAACACAACTTGGTTATGAAAAAAGTAACAGCAGAGAATGATTGGAAACCACTTTTCAAGAATATTTTAATGCCTAGAAACAGCAGCAAAGTAGAACAGCAGACATGTTTTCCTCAAAATAAAACTACGAACAAGAAAAATTACCATCATGAAATAGAATATTCTGAATATAGCACTGTGTCACTAATAAAACACTTTTAGACATTAGGCAGTCTTACAAACAAATTTGGAGTTCTGAACATGAAGTCAAAAAGGTAACAGTACTGAACAGCCATCCACCTGCAACTCCTTGGCAAGTGTCACGTTACAAAAAATAAAGATATTTACATTCAGCATCTTGCCTTTAACTTATTTATATGGCCCTTTGACAGAGATAGCTTGGAATCTGGAGAACCAGTTGATTACCCTCCTTAGAGCTGAACTGTACTCATATCTCATACATAGCTTGTTCTCATTTTACATTTCATACCAGAGCATATTTTGCAGAATCACAGACTCATCTGAGGTTGGAAGGAACCTCTGGAAATTGTCTAGTCCAAGTCCCCTGCTCAAAGCAGAGTCCCCTAGAGAGGGTTGCGCAGGACCTTGTTCCAGTTAGGTTTTGAACATCTCCAAGAATGGAGGCTCCACAACATGCCTGGGCAACCTGTTCCAGTATTTGATCATCTCTAGAGTAATAAAAGCTTTTTCATTATGCTGAAATGGAATTTTCTGTATTTCAATTTGTGCCTATTGCCTCTCGTCCTGTCACTGGGCATCACTGAGAAGAGTCTAGTTCTGTCTTCTTTACTCCCTGCTCCAACAGATACTTATATAGATTGATTAGATACTGTTAAGCCTTCTCTTCTCCAGGCTAAACAATCCCCACTCTCTCAGCCTCCCTCCTAAGTCAGATGCTCCAATCCCTCAGTAATCTTTGTGGCCCTTTGCTGGGATCACTGCAGTACGTTCACGTCTCTCTTGTACTGGGCGGCTCAGCACTGGACACAGCACTCCTGATGAGGTCTCACCAGAGAGAGAGCAGAGGGGAAGGATCACCTCCTTTAAGCTGCTGGTAATGGTCCTCTTAATGCAGCCCAGAAAACCATTGACCTTCTTGGCCACAAGGGCACATTGCTGGCTCATGGTCAATTTGATGGCCACCAGGACTCCCAGCTCCTTCTCTGTAGGGTTGCTCTCCAGCAGGTCAGCCCACAGCCTGTACTGGTGCATGGGGTTATTCCTCCCCAGGTGCAGGACCCTGCACTTCCCATTGACCTTCATGAGATTGCTCTCCGGCCATCTCTCCAGCCTGTCCAGGTCCCTCTGAATGGCAGCACAGCCCTCTGGTTAATCAGCCACTGGGAAGGTGATGGAGCAAATAATGCTGGACATCATTTCTAAAGACGTGAAGGACAAGGTTATCATGAGTGGATAGGATTTATGAAGGAGAAATGCCTGATCAACCTGATAGCCTTCTATGATGATAAGACTGGCTTGGAGGATGATCACAGGACCTGGGATTCCTGAACACTGAACTTGCCAATAAAGACTAGAGGTGAAAAACAGCACTGAGTACCTCTGCTTTTTCTGTGTCCTTTATCATCAGGTCCCACCCCCCATTTAGCAACAGACCCATATTTTCCCAAGTCTTCCTTTTATTGCCAATATACCTGTAGAATCCTTTCTTGTTGCCTTTCACATCCCACATCATATTCTACTCCAGACAGGCTTTGGCTTTCCTAGCACCATCCCTACATGCTTGAACTGTATTACTGTATTCCTGCCGGGTCATCTGGCCCTGCTTCTACCTCTTGTATGCTACCTTTTATATTTGGGTTTTATCAGGAGCTCCTTGTTCATCCACACAGGCCTCCTGCTGCCTTTGCTTGATTGCCTGTTTCTTGGGATGGACCATTTTTGAATCTGGACGAGATGATCCTTGAAAAATCAACCAGCTGTCCCGGACCCCTCCTCTCTCCAGGGCCATATCCCATCTGAGTCTTCCATGCAGATCCCTGAGAAGGAACAGCTGCTCTCCGGAAGCCTAGTGTTGTGATCCTACCTAACGCCTTGCTCCCACCTCTCAGGATCCTGAACTGCATTATCTCACGGTCACTGTTGCCAAGGCTGCCCCCAATTTTCACATCCCTGATGAGTTCTTCCTTGTTTGTACAAATCAGATCCAGCAGAGCATCACTGCTACATTGGTCCTCAATCACCTTGATCACTGTGTCATGAAGTTATCATCAGTGCACTCCAAAAACCTCCAGGATTATTTGTGCCCTGCTATGTTGCCCCACCAGCAAATATCCATGCGGTTCAAATCCCCCATGAGGGCCAGGGCCTGCAGACATGAGGCTTCTTCCAGTTGTCTGAAGAAGGCCTCGCCTACTTCTTCCTGATCAGGTGGTGTCAATAGCAGACACCCACTCCAATGTCATCCATGTTGGTCTGTCTGCTAATCCTTAGCCATAAAGTCTCAGCTGGCTCATCAGTCATCCCTATGCATTCCTGTTGCTCTTTTACATAAAGAGTAACTCCCTCTCCTCACCTTCCTGGCCTGCCCTCCCTAAAGAGCCTGTGTCCATCCATGGCAGCACTCCAGTTATGTGAGCTATCCCACCACACCTCTGTGATCCCAATGAGCTCGTAGCCCTGCAACTGCACACAGGCCTCTAACTCTTCCTGTTTGTTCCCCATGCTACATTCATTAGTGTACAAGCACTTCAGAGAGGCACATTTAAAATGTCTTCATAAAGCCAGTTAAATAGAGAGCACGTGTCAACAGTACATCAAGTGCAGAAGCACACATCAACAGACGTAAGCGCACGTTCTGTTGAGAAGACTTCCCAGTCCATGAGCGCAAAACTTCTCTGTTTTAAGCTGTCACTGTAAAACGCTACATGAAGAGACAGAAGTCAAAAGGGTTTCCCAGTAAAAGACCACAGTCATTTGCAAGGAAGACTTTTATCTTACTTACATTATTCCTTTTTTCAGAGCTGGACACCTAATTTCTCCCTTCCTAATTCCTATAGAAATTAAGCTCCTTGGCTATGTATAGCTTTGAAAAATACACTTTTAGAATCACAGCTCTGAATTAATTTTGTTACTAGCCTTACTAGGCTAGTGACACCTCATGTTTGAAGGTGAACAATAACCAAACCTGACTAAGGTTTTGAAACAAGACCACTTTGAAGCATTAGGTATGGGAGATAAAAGTCAAGGGTCCTAATCAAACACTTGGTAAATCAGTAAACCACAGAAAGGAGAGTTGCATGACATTTAGCTTCGATCCTAGCTGACTTGATGAAAGAGTGAGGGTTGAAGGGACAGAGCTGACTGGAAGTAGTCATCTCTGGATACAGCCATGTACAAATACCCTCTTACAAATGTAGCTTGAACATCATCATTTCACCTTCTCATCACTGCCAATGGGTGTTTGTTGCCTCATACCTGCCAATGAAAGGGAATTTGGGAGCATTCCTGTACTTGCTCCAGGGAAAATCAGCAGGGTTAGATCAAATCTTCAAGAGTTAGCTGGGGATAATACCAACTGAATCCTGTTGATTAGGAAGCGCATGTTCCCTTCCAGCAGCAGGACACTACGGATAATGGCTTCTTGGAGAGGGACAACAACAAAATAGCTGGGGGAATGGAGAAGGAGGAGGAGAGGAGAGGAACAGTAATACCAGATGTTTGCAAAACGAACATCTGTCAATCAAATTAACTTCTAAATACTGTGTAAAAAGTCTTCAGACGAGACTTTACCTTCCAGTAGCAAATCAAAATCCAGTACTGATCCAAGTCTTCAGATTACTATTTTTCAATGACCTGAATTTATTTCCCTTAGAATAGCATGTGGATTAGGTCATCTCCTTCAAGAAAATAAAGGAAGATCTCCTGTGGGCCAGCAGATGTCATATTGGTCTGATACTAAATCTTAATTAATTTTTTTAGCTATAGTCATGGAAAGGACTATGAATACTTCCTTACATCACATAACTGTGCTCCTGCTAAAAAGCAGCAGTCCTACCCTTTCATTTCCTCTGCTTTCTGCTGCTCACTCTTGTGTCCTCCTTTGCACCAGCACTAGCAATTTAGGCTGCCCTGCAGTGAACCACATTAACAACTGCTCTGCTTTAGCCTATGGCCTAACGAACACTAATGACAACACAGAAGAGGGGCAAAAGGAATGGCAGGTCTCCCTGCAGTGGCACAGAATCAAGCCACATTAAACTGAATCAAAACTCAAGTTTATGCTGCATACAGATTATTAGCTGCGTAGCATGATATTGCAAAACAGCCACACTGTGAAATTGGCCCAAAGCATACAAAGGGCAGCTTTGCCTAACAGATCATATGGGGTTTGGGCAAGGAAATAATTTCAGGAAGGAATCTATGCTGCAGAATGGCAAAGGGTAAAACCAAAGGAATTGCAGAGAAAACATCAGTAATGACAGGTCAGGTCAAAGTATACTTTGGCTACTTGAAGGAAACTTGACAATTCAGTCTTACTCCTGTAAATGCTGGGACACAACAAAAGGAGGAGAGCTGTTTGCTTTTTAAACTAGGAAATTTGAAATCTGTACATTTGTAAAATAGGTTAAAAAAAAGGAATAAAAAAGTATGCACACTGCACCTGTAAAAACTATGACCTAAATCAGATCAGCAAGAGGAAAGTAGAAAAATAAACCAACTGATTTTATTGTTGAATCTTTGCAGAACATCCTGGCCTCTGTTTTCAAATCAGCTCAGCCTTTCTGCATAATTTCGGCTTGCAGTTTAAAAACAATTAATATTCATCATCTTATTATTTCCAGAAGAAAGTGGACAGTTTACCAATACTCCAATTCTAATCAGTATCTAAGGTGGAAATATTTTTAAAACTATCATATCACTAAAATTGTTAGCCTGATGCTTAGGCCCAAAATCAAAACTGAATAACTGCTTTCTGCTTCCATGAAATTCCTCTCCTACTTCAGTCAGGTATGATTTGCTTCACATACTATCCCAAACTGTCAGTCCAACATTGATGCATTTCAATGATTGATAAATACTGAAAAACAAAAAATACATCAACCACAGTTCACTGAAGTTACATACACACCTTGATATTTCACTAAAAAAATTATCACATAGATTTAAGTCCCATGGACTTAAAAGCAGTATTTAATTCTGAGAAATTCTAAAGACCAGAACTAACTTCTTTGTTTAACAAATGGAACCAGCACTTCAGGATTTTAAGTCTAATCAGAATCTCTGTGAAGACAGCAGAATTTTTGTGCCTTCAAGAAATCTGAGTAATTAAGTTATACTTTCCAATTTCTACACACAGCATTTAAGAACACTCTGAGACAGAGGCAGGAGATGAGAAAACAGCTTTTCAGCTGGACAGTGGATGCTCTTGTACTGCTGAACAAAAATCAATTTCCAGCTGCTGCTGTGATGAGCTTCTTGGTTTCCAAGGTAATTCTATTGGCAGAAATTATGAAAAATCTTTGAATGTATTGCACTAACAGTAAAACTGAATTGGAAAGGGACACTAACAAGTCAAGACCTTATATTTCAGGGACGGTGATACTAGAATTGTCACATCTAAGTACAATCCAGAAACTTTATCTATAAATCATGGCTAACGAAGTGTTCGAAAGTGCTTCTAAGTAGGCAGACCGCTAGAATGAGGAGAACTTTTATAAAAACAGTCCAACTAATTTAAGGAGCCAGGCTGCTATATACTGTGATCCTTATTAAGTAACTAGAGTTGTCCCATCATGAGTAAAGCTATTCCTTTTTTCAGCTAGTGCGAATTTACTTCTAGCTGTTAAGTACAGACCTTTCAGCCACAGCAAGAAGACGTTCTGGTCGGAAAGTGCCTTCTGTGTCAATGTACATAGCTTTTCCTTCACCACCACCTCGATCAATGGGAAGCTAAAATGAAGAGCGAATGAAGGAACATGAAACAGAACAACAACAAATAACCCAGTTATTGCCTTGTGACCTCAACTGATATTAATACAATAAATAACATACCAAGTCTACAGTGACTAAAGTCACATTTATCTGGAAAATGTGAGAAGCCAGAAACAGAAAGATTCATGTTTTCAATCTCAGATACCTATGAAAGGAGAACAGATGCTCAACTTAGAGCTGGTAAGTTCAGGTGCCCAATGGTTTTAACTAAGTAACCAAACTGCATCCTCTAGAAATTAGTATATACTATTTTTTTTTTAAACTAAGATTAGAAATGAGTCAGATGACACCAAACTGACTTATTGTTTGATAGCAAGAGTCAACGGAAAGTTTTTACAAAAATAGAGTGAAGTAAGCTTAGGATACATTAAGAAAAAGCAACCGGTCAAAAAAATGGTCAGACCAAATAAGTTTCATCCCTCTTTTCTACAGTCTTGGTGATGAGAAAGATTCTCAGCAGTCTACAATGCCTGAAGAGAAATCAAATACTTCTGTGTATTTAAGACCTAGAACTAGCCTATGAGGCTGATGTGTATTAATTTTTGTTGCCAGACTATTAAGGAGAGAAAAAGCTACAAAACATACATCAAAAACAGGAAAAAAAAATCACAGACTTAATTGGTACTAAAGTAATCCTGGTACACAGATTAAGCATGAAACAAAAGATCTCAGCAAGTTGAGAACTCAGCCAATGGTGCTGCAAAGGCTTTTGAGGACACCCCTTGAACAGATAAAATACTCAGATTCTTTGCAACAGCTGTTTAGATGCATCACATTTGTATTGTTAAGAAAAGTGCACAAATTAGTGAAAATCCAAAATCTATGTTGTCTGAATACTTAATTTATTAAAATTTTGAATACATGATTAATAAAGTGGACTACTCACTTGACAGGTTACTGCCAGGGTATGACACAACTGCGTCTTTCCAGTTCGAAACTCCCCAAATAACTCTGTTATGGACCCAGTTTCTATTCCTCCTTAAAAAGGAAGGGGAAACAGAAGATGATGACATACTTTAAACAGATAGACCAAGTATAGAGTTTTACATTTACAGAGACTCAATTAAACCCATGCTTTGGCTAAAAGTGATCGTCCAAGTCTTAAATCTCTAATTGGAAAAACTGGTTTTCATACTGAGTTGTTCATGTTGTAAACGTTTGCAGTTCATAGTACAGCTTAGTAAGCGTATTTTTGAATACGCTGAAGACCTGAGATAAAATTTTTTTTATTTTTATTTTTTTTAACTACAATTAGGAAGAGGGAGATGATGATACCTGCTGTTTTTTTTCTTGAAATAGACCGGAGAATAGACTAAATGGGAAATATCTGAAATGGTCAACTCTGGGTTCATGCATCACGAACAAAAGCTTTAAAAAGCTACAGCAATAGTTTTGAAAGAGAATTGATTATGATACAAGAAAGAAGTACTAAGGAGATTTAAGTTCAACCAGATGTATTCTTATGGTTTTTTGTGCAAGTGTCATGTCCAATAGAGATAAAAACAGATAATGAATGTTAAGCAATAAAGGAATAAAATTACTACCTTGAAGTAGTTTATCAAGTTCTTTGGACCCAGTGGTGATCTGGATGATCTCTGACCTCCGCTGATGGAATTCCGTTGCTGTGGTAAAACCCATCGGAACCAGTTTAGCTGCTTCAGCCTAAAGAAAATCAAACTAAGTATTACAAGGAATATTCATCCCGTTCATTTAACCCTTCTAGTAATTAATATTGCAGTTTTCTGTTCTGCAAAATGAAGAGGCAGTTATAAAATACAATGATCTATAAAACGCGTGCATTGTGATTACTTGGTATCTTTGATCAGAACTGAAATTTTGCTCACAGAAAAAGCTTCCACACCCATTCTGCACATTTTACAGAAATGTCCCTCCCCTCCCCTTAGCCCACCCTTGGGTTCAGTTCTGTCCATGCAAAGCTAGATAACATGTATGCCCATCCTAGGAATGCTACTTTCCCCATAGTAAACAAAAGTAAGAAAAATATTGGAGTTAAATATTCTGCTAGCTCAAGAACTAGTCCTGCAGAAACACGATATTCTGAGTTAGAAGATGCTATAACATTTCAACACAGTGTTCACTCTCAATCCCCAAAACTCAGCTGCAGATGTCAGGATGCATACTTATCTGAGGTACACAATTAACAAACTCTAGAAGAATATAACAGAAGAACAACTGTACTGGGTCACACTAGTGGTTTACCACCCAAAATCTGATGCTTTGACAGGTGCCAACAGTGGAGGCTTAGGGCAAGAGCATGACAAAACAGGGAAAAAGGGTCTAACTCTCTATCTGGTAACTCCTCTGGGTTCAGTTAGCAAGCTTCTTGATCTGAATGTTGCCCCCTTAATGCTGTATTTAGCTCTTTGTGTATGTATCTTTTTGAACATATCCCCTTTTAACCAATTCGTGCTATGGACATCCACAGTGTCTTAGGACAGAGTTCTGTACCTTAATTATACCTTATATCAAAATTACTTTCTCTGCTTTAGGCCTGCCTATCATAAGCTTCTTATCATAAACAAATACTAAACTAGAAATAATAATCCTCTTGGCCATATTCTCCAAACCTTCCACAAATTTATAGACCTTTTTAGTAGTCCCTGCCCCTTTACTTCTCAAAGCTAGTCCTAGGCTATGTCTTCCAACTTAAAAACTCAGTTTGTACCTCTGATAATCCTTACTGTCCTTCTCACGATATTAATTGAGACCTTCCAAGATTACTGAAACAGGTTGAGCCAATAGCCATAAGACTTCCTGAAATTTTGGTGTTAAAGATTTTTGCAAAACATCCTTACCAGGATTTTGTCAGCTTTGGCTTCACTGATGCCTTTAATATTTAGTAACTCCTTCTTTGGTGCGTAAGCAACAGCTTCAACTGTGTGAAACCCAGCTTCTTCTAACTTCTTCACGTCATTTGCATTTATACCACATTGCTGAAAGGGAGGTGGGAGGAGAGAGGAAAAAGACATATGAAATTCCCATCTAACTTTCACTGAATACCTTCCACTGGCTTCAGCAGATTTGGATCAAGCTCCGTTATTACAATGCAGCATACTGAATATTACTTCCCTATTCACTTACACACAATGAATCATGGAAAAAAACTTATTTGCCAGTGTAACGCTTTCATGAGCCATTAACTATATAGATGACACAGAACAGGCAGAAGATATTGTTCTCTGCCTGGTTTAATAGATATTGAACATGACCAATACATGCTCAGGAAAGGATATACAGCAAAGCAACATAGTACAAAACATAACTTTTAGCATTTTTTGTTTGTTTGTTTTTTAAGTAAAACCCAAGTAAGAATTTAGCAACACAATTTGCAGATACAACTTGTATTTAAGGAAAGAGATTAGTGACTTTCTTGAAAGCTTACTCTTGATCTAACTTTTCACATACCTCTAACCTAGATATGAGCTGTGGCCCAAAGCTCTCCTCTTCTGCAGATGTATCTGCATTTGCTTCATATTGCACCTGCATTGCCATTGTACCAGATATTCAGTACAGCCCTCTCTGGAAGAAAACCAAATAACTTTGTGATGCAACATACACCATTCAAAAGTTATACATGCAAAGTGTTCGAAAATATGTTAGCAGATCATCCAAAGTAATATGTGATAGTTTTCTCCCTAAATGTATCTCTTAAATTGTGATATGAGTGCTATGACAAATATCTTTTGTGTGTGTTCCATGGTAGTATAAACACTAAAAAAACCCAACCCAAACAACTCTTAGGGCATCTAATAAGAAATAATAAGAAGCTTAACAGAGAATTCTAGAATGTTTTTAGGAGTAAAATATTGAAGATTTCTTCACAGGATGGCTTGTTAATAAATTTACTCTTATTAGCAGAATCTCATTTTAACACTAAGTAACACAGTCACCTTAGAAGGTGAGATATATTACTTTAACCTAGCACTTGGCATCACAGATTGATTATTTCTAGAAGACAGGCCTTGTGTCAACTACAAACACTAGTACCTTGCAGAAGCACAAAGGAGGCTCTAGATCCTCCCTCTGTACCCCTGCTAGCATTGTAGCGCATCTGCACTTCCCTTCCTAACACCAAGCAGAGGAAGGTGACAGAGGCCACAAGCAGCTAAGGGTACACTGCCATAGCGAAAGTTATACGCTCTTCATGCCGCGTGTCATTTAACTTGCGGAGTTGGTAGAAGCTAGATACTGAAGTCACTGAACAGCACCTGCCAGATGCAAGTCGTCCACGCAGAGTAAAAGAAGGCCTCAAGCAGAAATGCAGCAGAAGCAAGCACACAATATCGGAGGAAAAATCACCTTAGCCCTGGATCTTTTTACCAAGGCCAAACACCTCAAGAACAGGCAGCAGAAACCCAGGCCAAGCATGTGTGCTATAACCCCTTTCCCACAGCTCATCCGAATCGTTGACGCCCAGCCCCTCCTCGAAGCGTGGCACTTCATAACCCTCCCGGTTTGCCCGTCGTTAAGGCAACGCTGCGTGCGCTTACGCGGGGCGCTCTCCGATTTGCCCCGTCCCTTTGAGAAACTCCCCGCGTCCTTGCCCTCAACAAGGCGACTGGGGGCGGAGGAGGAAGGTAACAACAAGCTCCGCAGTGCCAGCTCTTTCCTCCCGGCTTTATTTTTTTTTTTGGTTTGTTTTAACGGACGGCGTCTTTCCTCACAAATTCGCCTCACGCAACGCCCCTCCCCCCCGCCCGCAGCCTCCCTCTGAGCTGAGCTGAGCTAGGCCGGGCCGGGCCCTACCGGGCCCTCGCGCACCACCGGAGGGGCAGAGAAACAGCGCAGGACGCAGGGC